TATACTTTACTGGACATGGAGAGTTACGATGTAGGTGACACAAGGCAAAAAAACTGCAGATACATTCTTGGATTGAAATATAAATATAATCAAATTACTTTAATAAAACGTTATCTACTTTATGGTTGATTTCAAAGTACTTAGTCGTGGTAAAAATCTGCATCTGCCTTGTGCCACGATACAGTATGACCACTGCAGCCCTAATCAATGATGTTGATAATGACCACACACACACACACACACACACACACACACACACACACACACACACACACACAACCACACACACACACACACACACACACACCACACACACACACACACACACACACACACACACACACACACACACACACACACACACACACACACACACACAACACACACACACACACACACACACACCACACACACACCACACACACACACACACACACACACACACACACACACACACACACACACAGTAAAAAAAAGTATTCCTCCTATTTAGTGATTTTTTTGGTTGTCAACGTTTCCGACAACATTACATTTATTTCACCACACACTGTTACCGGTTACTGTACTCTCACTAATTACCCCACGACATCTTAGAGAAAGCATGTAGCAGACCTATGCCAAAAGTACTCACATCAACCCAAATATTTATTTATATTTTCCTGATGAAATTAACTATTATTGACGAGTCTTTAGAATAATGGAAAAAGCTAAAAAATGAGATTTCCTTTGACCAGGTCTGCTGTTTTCACTGAAGTAAAAGCTGCCCATCCTGTTGCCAATAAGGAACATTGTTTTGGGGACAACTGGCATACGACATTGTGCTTTATTGCAGGTGTTTAAAATCCTATATTTGCGGTGAAGATACTCATGGTGGTATAAAGCAGAGTTTATACATCTTTTTCGACTTGTTTATGCATTTCATCGTTGCATACTCGCTCGTGTTGATCTATTTTTGACCAGCCCGTGCTCTGCCAACACCAGATGTGTCTTTGTGAGTGCATAGCAACGAGAAGATAAAGAAAACTGCAAGTTGTAGTAACCCCTGCTTTGAAATCCTGGAACTCTTCACAAAAACGTACACTATGCATCACAAAAACAGCGTCAACAACTATTGTTCACAAGAGCACAATTTTAAAAAAAAAGACACTTCCCATTTATATATATTATTTTCTGTTTGGCATTTGACATCCAAATCACTTATTTTGGTACAGAAAAAAATATTTTAAATTATATGGAAGCCCTTAAAATAAAAATAATAATAATGGGCCTGTTTTTAACGGCATCTTTAACGGAAATCACATGCAAGCCTTTAGTTTGACTGCATGTGTGAATACAGGAGCCTTTCCTTTGTGTTTTCAGCGACTCATGCATACACTGAAGGCCTGTTGTGTTTTTTATTTCGAGTACTCTGTTCCGGCACGTGAGTGGTGTATCGGTTAGTTTGGAGCATGCAGTGTGGATGGGGTCTTGAGGAAAGCCAGAGTTTAGGGTTCGGTCTTTAAGGGCTTGAAATCGGTGAGTTGTTAATGCTATTGCATTCCATAGAACGGAAACGGTAAATGGCAGTTAGCTAATAAACTTGTGCTGTAAGCCCCTTGTAAACACACCACACACACTGTACATTCCCGTGTGCATGGACACTCGCCACACACACGAACACACACACAAAAGGGCATTAAGTGACTAGTAACAACGCAGCACCCCACACCCCCCCCCCCCCCCACCACGCACCCTCTTCCTCCTACCTGACAAATAAGACGACTGATAGACAAAATGAAACTAAAGAAAGAAAAATTGTCCGAGCCACTCGCGGTCTTCTCTCTGGTCTGAGGCGGGGTCTTTGCGCGTCCGTGTTACGGGATCCAGGAGAGTCGAAGGTTCAAGTCAGGGTCAGAGGAGTCGGCTGGCGCTCACCCCTAGGAGGGGGGCTTGCTGTAGCCGTAAAGTCCGACAGGAAAGTATGTTGACGTGGAGTGGGCCACTGAGCGGCGAGCTGGAAGAACTTCACGTCGTTCCACTCCACGCCGTCTATTGCCACTGCAGGGAGAACAGAAACACTCAGCTGAATAACAGGAGGAGGACATTCGACTAATGGGAGAAAAGAGAAAAACAACACCTATGCTGTGTTTACACCAAATGCAATGCAATTCATCTGCTTAAAAACATCAATATGAACCCAAACAGATTTAGCAGTAATTTAATCAGAATAAATGGATCAAAAGGATTCCAAAATGACTTCCTCGTGATGCAGATTTGTGTTAAGCCTAAATTCATGAGTTGTCAGGTCCGTCCGCAAGATGACAAGCAAACAACTTTAAAAATTCTTTATGAATGGAGTTTGGATCAATCAGGGTTCGCTGAAGTTGTAGCTGCTCCATCATTAACATGAGGCATAAATACGACCACATCATCTGCATATTCGGGTTGCTTCTATTGCCGTTTTCTTATTGGCTTTGTATGTCATGGCACCATAATCCTCATAATCACCGATACAAACACATTCAAAAGGACTTGGAGGTCACCATGTTATCCTTCAGGTTACCTTGGAGGAAGGTCTGTTGCTGCTTGGCGGAGCAGATGAGTCGGCTGATGCCTTCGATGACCTGGCTCTTTGAGTCTACGTCCTTCTCCTTTGGCTTCTTCCCCAGGAAGATGGTGGGAACTGCGGAGAGGCAGAGGGAAATAATCATGCAACTGGACCTAGAACACGAAAGAAGAGTTCCTCTCCCCTCTGAGGGATATCCACTCTTTGGCTCCTGGTCTCACCTTTCTTGTTCTTCTCCTGGTGACCACGGTCATGGCCATGGTGCTGACCTGGGGCCTGCGTGTCGTTGCTGCCCTCCCCCGGTAGCCTGCTGACCTGCAGCGAGCGGAAGGCGCTCTTCAGCGTGTTCTTGCCGCCCGTGTCGCGCCTCTCGCCCTCCCGCCGCTTCTCCGCCAGAGACGCCAGCCAGTAGTCCACCTGCAGGCCGATGGCGTCCACGCCGTAGATGACATGCTGGGACTCCTGAGGACGAGAGAGTTATAGAAGCAGTGAGAGAAATGCAAGATCAGGAGGGGCTCACAACTCCTTTTCTGGACCCTCACTCCAACTCTTTTGTATTAGGTATCATCCTTTTCCCCTTAACATATCTTTGTTGAATCCTTAAAGCTGAAGTTTTGTGTTAGATTCCATAAAAAACTGCTTAAGAAATATATATAGGCAATGGCACAAATTGTGAATATGATATAAATATGATTTTGTGCCAACAGTAACTTCATTCCAAACTATTTGAAAGAACATGGACTATATGAGATTTGATTGCTTGCACCGAATGCATTCTGCAGAGGGTGGGATAGAAGATTAGATAAGACCACAGGCAGGAAGAGACCGTCTGCAGCAGCAGGAGGAGAACATATCAAATGTATCCAGCAGAGGAAAACGGGACTGAAGTATCAGAGAATACTGCTGCCAGAAACTCAATATTCAACATAGATATATTGTTTCTAGGTGTTAAAATATTTCTCTTTATTGAGAGTAACATCATTTGAGAAAATAACATATTTGACCTTTTAATCCGCTATTTTGTTTTTAATTTGAAGGGCAATGGAATCATTTTACAATTGAGTTATTTTTAAGATGGATGTTTCTCCCCTGACCAAAGGGGTGATGAGGGATACATTCTGAATGAGGTAAGAACAAGAGGGGAAAGGAGAAATCATTCAGGTCACTCTTACCCTTGTACTGTCAGGACGCTGCCCATGGAGGGGGAGGAGGGGGGTGTGGCCGCCTCTTTAATCCCCGTGGGGGAGCCGTGGGAGGGGGGAGACGTGGAGGGGACGGCCAAGCTCACTGACATGCCCTCTTCTGTATCTCCTGGAGGATCACAGAAGAAAATGTACATTATTAGCGCCTTTTATATTTTATTTAGACTCACAGGACTGTTCAATTCCTCTGTTTACAGTCCACATATTGATATTATAAAATAAAGTCAGTATTTCATTCCACTGTACATTATTTCATTTAACTTTCTGTTAGTCCTATTCCATTTTAGATGCATAGTAGTATACCTGGAATTCTTTCTTTCATATCTTAAGTAACCGTTCACTGACCTGTTGGAGAAGGACCCGACTCGATAAGACCAACTTTAACCACCTGGAAAACAAGAAGCAGAAATGTCTAAAATCAGTAACAATTCTTCGATTCAGATCTGATTTGGCAACCTCCAGCGATATATAGAGTAAATCTTACCCCTATGAAGGGAATAAACTTCTGGTAGGAGTCTTCATCTCGCCTGGAAAGAGAAAGGACACAGATTTGTGAGATCCACATCAAGGGTTCTTGCTGTGTGTTTTGTGTGACTCTGCACTCACGTCCTGTGTTTGCAGGTGAGCATGGCCTCAGCGATGGGCAGCTGGTGTGTGACCCGTGGCTCCGCTGATGTACTGCGAGATTCTTGCCGCTACATCCAGCTGATCTGTGGAGGAGAGGGAACCATGTGTGCGTTAGTAGGGACGCAATATCACCCACATAGGTGTTCAATCAGGGCCTCATGGAGGGGGGAGGGGGTACCTGTCTGTGGGGGCTCAGAGCGGCTGAACACGTCTCTCCACGCCCCGTCCAGGAAGGAGGAGCTGTAGCGGTTGTCAAGGGCGCCGAGGTGCTTAGCAACCGGGTGTGAGCCTGATGGAGAAGATGGAGCAAAGTAATTGGACGGTAAGTGTTGGACAATACAGCACAATCATTGAAAACAAATTTAATAAAAGCACAGGTATGGTTCAAGATACTTTTTAGATACTAGACGTTTATAACGGTCACATTTATCCCAATATGTATCCTCCATGGAAACAGCCGCAGACTCTCTTACCCAGAGGCACGACCAGGAAGCGCATGTGGTTGAGCCAATCGGAGGTCTTGTTGGCGAGCTGAGTGACAAAGAAACTGCAGGATTGCTCCCAGGTAACTCTGGCTGCCCACCGCCGCCACCTCACCGCCCTGGGCCATGGACGAGTTACAGTTACAGCTATGGGGGAGAGAAAGAGTGAGGAGAAAGGGGGAGGAACTGTTTAATTTGCAGTGATGTAAAACTATGGTAATGATCACATCTTAACATTTGAGAAGGAACACCAATTTTTTCGTTAATGATGAAAAGTTAGAGGATGACCAAGTTATCCATGAATGAAAATACACTTTCCTGTTTCAAACCAAAAAACATGGAGCCTCTTAAGTGAATGTATTTGTCTCAGAGTGGACACAATACCGGTAACAGTCTTCTTAAAGGCTAACTTGAGAATCCTAGTTCTTACAGTATATAACCACTTGGTATCTCAACACCGTTTACTTTATTTCCTTATATGCTCTGGCAAAGTCCAACAAAGTTAACTGAAGGGACAGATGGAGACAAAACAGTGAGGGGGAGAAATAGGTGAAAAATACAAAGTATTGTTTTGGCATAAAGAGAAGTTATAGATGTGGAGTCAGGAGGGCAAAGAGGAGGAGAGATGAAGCCTGAGGAGATGAGTCATCCTGCAAACCAAGGGATGGTCTGACTAGAAGTGTGTGTGTGTGTGTGTGTGTGTGTGTGTGTGTGTGTATGTATGTGTGTATGTATGTGTGTATGTATATATGTGGTATGTGTCTGTGTGTATCATAGACTGGTGTGTATGTATGTGTGTGTGTGTATGTCTGTGTGTGTGTATGTATGTGTGTATATGTATGTGTGTGTGCATGTGTGTATGTGTGTATGTATATGTATGTGTGTGTTATGTGTGTGTTAGCTTCTCACAATTTCTGGATGCGGGTGAGCACGGCCGACAGCACCGCCTGGATTTCGGCGGAGGAACACGTGCAGACCACCGGGTGTCTCTGTACCTGTAGCTGCTCTGCAACATACTGCACACACACATGGAATAACGATGAAAACACACACCTAAAAATGTATTTGGGGACATGCTTCCCACACACACACACACACACACACACACACACACACACACACACACACACACACACACACACACACACACCACACACACACATCACACACCACACACACACACACACACACACACACACACACACACACAACACACACACACACACACACACACACTCACACCACACACACACACAACACACACACACACACACACACACACACACACACACACACACACACACACACACACACACACACACACACACACACACACACACACACACACCACACACCACACACACACTTACCTGTCCTTGCCAGTCGGTGCCGTTTACCAGTATCAGGCTTTCGGGGAGAGCGGAGTCTGATAACAAAATCTGGTTCAGCTGGTCGTACACCACCTTCCTCAGGAGCTAAACACACACACACACACACACACACACACACACACACACACACACACACGATGAGGTCATACACTTCCCTACAGCAACACATTTACTCTTCAGATGACTCATGAGAAAATCAATTATTCATTCCCGAGCTCCTGGGAGTCACAGATTATAGTTTGTGTTCTTTACTTTGGAAAAAAACTAAACAAAGAGGCGGACAAAGAACAAAGGCAGTTGTTTTTGTAAATGTCTGTACTGCGACAGGATGGTTCATGTCCGTATGCTCCGGTAAAATGATTGTGTAGCTTGTGTAGAAAAGGATGGTAATTTACGGGCGTGCTGTGTCCCAGCTCCGGGGATCTCTCGGAGTCGGAGCTGTTGGTGCGCTCACTCAGAGGCTTGGACAGCTGTCTCTCCTTCATGGGGGTGCTGATGCGCTTCTGTCGGGGCGTGTTGCCTCCATCCAACCTGAGGGAGACGGAACAAAGGTGCAGCAGGATTAAAACAAGCTCAAATGGCATCATAGATTGCCAAGATATTCAGTGTTGAATGCAGGAATAGATACAAATGCTGTACAAATATGAACCTATCAATCGTATAAATTTAGATGCATAAATGCCAAAAATATTTAAATAAAATGAAATATCTCAGTTTGGCACCATGTGTGTTTTTTTATTGTGATTTGGGGTGATTGGTTACCTTGGTGATGGCATGGCCTGGGTTTCACTTTTGCTGCTCTTCAGAGGCGTACGGGGTTTCTCTGCCACTGACACCGTGATGCAGGGGCCCACCTCAGCAAACAGCTCCTGATCTGTTAGCTCCTACACACACACACACACACACACACCCAGTGTCAGAAAAAGGAGATACTCCGACTCTCCATTACTTTTTATTTCACTCTTTCTTCCGTTCTCTCCGTCTCTCTCAATCTGTCTCACTTACAGCGCAGATGGCAGCCAGTTCCCGATGGAGCGCTATTAACAAAGATCAGGTAACACACACACACACACACACACACACACACACACACACACACACACACACACACACACACACACACACACACACACACACACACACACACACACACACACACACACACACACACACACACACACAACACACACACACACACACACACACACACACACACACACACACACACACACACACACACACACACACACACACACACACACACACACACACACAGAGTCATACCAGTGTGTCAGTCTCAGATAGAGCCTCCTCCAGGTTGCGGCTGCGGGAGGTTTTCATCTTCTCTATAGGAGGCTGCTCCCCCTGCTGGGGAAACGAGGAAACTGCATTCAGTCTACAAGCTTAATGGGACTGGATTTTTAGAAAATAAAGAAATTACAGAAGTTATTTTGCAGCTACAGGAAAATAACATTATAACCAATCTTTTTGACTGAATTGAAAGCAGATGTTTTCCACTGAAAAACGTATTTTCAGGAAGTGTGCAAACACTAGTCCCAACACTGAGAGGCTTACTTCAGCATTACTGTTAAAGAGGGAACTGCAGTGAAATCCATTCAGCACATTCAACACTCTTTCTATCGAGCAGATGGCGACCGTAAAAGATTCCTGCTCCATTAAGCAAACCTTTTTGAATTTTTTACATTTGCACACCACCCCCCCCTGATGGGCCATTTTAATAGGCTTCACATTCTGGATGTTTCCCTCATCAATACAGAGACGCATGTTGTGTTCAAGCTTCAAGTAAAAGTGTTTCCTTCCAGTTCTTTATATCACTGTCTGCTATCTAGTACCACGGATAAACTGTCTGAAGCACTTTGTGAATAAGTACTAGGTTAGGACTATGTGTTTATTGTGTAATTAAGAACACATTTATAATTACATCAACACATCTCACAGTGAAAACGGCCAGGATGTACAACATGTTTGAATCATTTGAGTAAAAAGTCTTTAAAAAGTGATGATTTAAAGGGATTCTTTTTGTAAAGGCCAATATATCGTTTTTTTAAGAAAATCATTTGAATAAAAATATCTACATGTATATTGGTTGTATATTTTGACAGGCTGTGACTGGATCAAACAAAAAAAAAGCTATTTATTTTCAGATTGTTGATTTAAGGCTAAGGTACATTGGCTATGTGTAGTCCGAGGTAAGTATTGTACCTGTATCACTAGTCCATTGTACACAATCTAAATGAGGTCTTGTCTGAAGTTGAACACCCTTTGGGAATAATAAAGATGAACTGCACTCAGCTCAATGGTTTAGGGTTTCTAGAGCGGCACATGAAAGCCCCACAGCTCACATAAGTTACATTCTTGCTGATGCTCCTTCCTGGATCAGAGTTACTCACCGGGCTGAAAGTGTCTCGACCTAAACTGCCTTTGCTGTTCAGGCTGCCGATCTCCGTCTGAGAGCTGGACTGAGACATTCCCTCGAAGAACGGCCTGAACACACAGACAGACAGAGAACATGAGAAAACAAATCTGTCTCCAGTATTGTGTCTTTCTTACAGCTTAGTTTGATATAGAGACATTACAGGTGATTATATAACATTAAACAGAAATGGGACAAATCAGCAGTGTCTCATGAGAGTCTATTTATATTGGACCATGTATTACACTACATTCAACACCATCAAATAGCGCTATTTTGAGCCATATTTTGAGGCTGAATGTACGCTGGGATCACAAGGAGGGAATACAAATAGGTTTGAATGCTACTCTTTGACTCTGTTATTGACATCCTAAAAATACACCTTCCTGGAGTTCATGACAAAGTGTACTCATATCTTTGAAGCAGATACTTTAACTTTGGTCCCCAAAACAATGATCAGCATCACATGTCCCTCCCATCTTTACTTCATGAAACTTGACTTTTAAATCCTATGTTTTAAATAAACCCTTCAATATGAGATTTGAGGTTTTGGTTGACAAGTCAGAAGAAAATAAAAAGGCAACCAACCAGATTGTGGTTCGACATAACCTAAAATAAACCTCAATACATGACGACGATGAGCAGGTTTCACCAACAGAGGGAGTCCTATCAGTATTTTGGATGCAGCATGTATATATGTCTTTATATATGAGCCGTGTTGCAGGTTTGTGCAGCCACCTTAGTTTGGGTTTGGGCGTGCTGAGGATGCTGTCGGTCTCCTCCATCTCCGGCCCGCTGTCGCTGGGGTTGTACATCTCCAGACTGTCGTAGAGCTCGTCCAGGTCCTCCTCCACCTCCTGGATCTGCTCCCTCGACACGTGCTCCAGGCCGAAACCAACCTGGACGAGAAGCAGAGGAGATAAGTGACCGACATTCATGTGTGAAAACATTTCCAACCAGCTCTGACTGGTTCTGTTAACGCAAACAGAAGCTATGAAAAAACAACAACCTGTCAACAACCTGCTCCCCTGAGAGGTGATAATCCCTACTGAGGCAACATATGTTGTTCCCAACTGTGGTACCAAACACACACGCTTTCCTTTTGACATCAGAATGCACTCACATGGCTGAGATTTCAACGACAGCAACAAGTAAATGTGTATAAGGATATATTTTAAAAGTAGTAACACAGGGAGAAGAAAAAAAATCATATCAAGCAATTTTATTTTTATAATCTCAATATAAGCAGAGCTCTTAATCAGAATCAAATACTGAGTTGCCTGAAATACTAACAAATATATTCTTCTTAAACAGAAATAATAAATACTAATGAGAAAGGTTATTTTCACTACAATGACCAGTGCACTGCACATTGTCCCTTACATAAACAGACATATACAGGTCTTTCTTGAATACTCGCTTCTGATTGGTCAATAACAGAATTCTATGGTCTGTTATTTCTTAATAACAGACTGCTGGTATGAATAACAGGCCATCACTATGGACGCAGTTCCATCTCGTAAAAAAGTGAGCGGTCTGATTGTTTCAGCAGAAGCAATAAAACAACAAAAACTATTTAAATCATTATTTTTTGTCAAATTATTCATTTCTTTAGCCTTGTAATTAGGCGGGTATTGTCGGTGAGGTGGTCATTATTACAAAACAAGCCACTTCAGGGTGACCCAAGATATATAAATTAGGGCTGTCAAACGATTACAATTTTTAATCAGATTAATCACAGTTTAAAAATTAATTAATCATGATTAATCACCATTCGAACTATGTCCAAAATATGCCATTTCTTTATGTATATTGTTGTGGGAATGGAAAGATAAATGAAAGAAGGCGGATATATCCATTTAACATACAGTATCTATGTTTATTATAAAAAAAAATTCTGTGTGTCAAAATGAAAGACAGCCCACACAATCAATCATCAAACCGTGGGGTCTTAATTCATTACTGTTGATTTCTATCAACGGGGGAGTAGGCTACTTCAGGAAAGTCGACGGGGGGGGGGGGGGCGGCTAGTGGAGTACTTCGTGACCACAGTGTGAACGTTGTGATCAGCTGTTTTAGCGCAGTTCTCCAGTGAAGGGAGGAGTCTCCCTCCGCAGCCGGTTGGCGTAGTTTTGGCACAATTCCGTTGTACAGACCGACGTTAACAGCAGCCCTGTCTGTGCACACGGAGACCGACTCTGTCGTCCGGTGATCTAACCGCCTTCTGGAAAAGCTTCACAAGTAGCCTACGTCGGTACGCAAATGCGCTTTGTGACACAAGTGACGGTACGCATTTCAGATTACGCACATAACCTGCGTACCAGTTATGTGCACCCCTGTACTACAGCAAAAGTATTCTCCGTCGGGACTTCCTGCAACAACACCACGCCGTTATCTTGATTCTGATTGGCCAGAAGACATTATCAAAGATGTTCTATTGAGAACAGTAGCGTGGCGTGGGGAAAAATGTAGGGGAAGCCCATTTTTTGGGTCGGGGGGTGGTCAATAACGTAACCAGATGAGTGATTACAGCGCCCGGTATCATTTTACACACATTGGTATCACACAGATGCAGGACTTGCACACGCCTGTTATCTAACCGACAGGTCCGCACGCACTCTCCAGCTGAAACTCTCTCCTTATTATTTTAAGCATTTTACTTATTAATGTATGCAGACAATCACACAATCTATGTGATTTTTGGATTTACCGTGCCTCTCAATTGCCCGTGACAGGTTGGCAAGGTCGATGAATCCTGAAGTTGCCCAAGGATTGTTCAGGGAGAACGAATCCTTGTCAAAAAGAAGACATGGCCAGCAAATTAGACGCTGAAGTTTAGCGCTTCCAGTTAGCCACTCCGTGCGGACATAATTATCCTCATTGAACGTCCGATTCTCTCCCTTTTTCCTCTGCGTACACACAGCTCGAGTGCGGGCATTTGCCTGTCATCTGATTTAATTTTTAGTTGCTGCTGTAGCGGAAGTTTAGTAAAGTTATGTTTGATTAAGTACGCCAAATCTCCACCCTCCATAATGCTTCATTTGCTTGATAATTTCTAACGGCGGTGATGACAGTTACAGTATTAAAACTGATGTTGATGTGATTTGATTGGATGGCAGTGTCCAATCAAATCGCCAGCCGCCAGCCGCCTCTGAAGGGAAGCAAGAGGCGGCTAGCTTCCCTTGGCATGGCCCTGACCAATCACAGGTTGGCAGGGGCATCACGTGGGCCTCATCTGATTGGTCAATCCCTCCATTTTTTTTCACCAAGGGAAGCCAGATTCGGCTGGCCTCCTCTCGCAACAGTGCAATCTACTGTTTCACCATAACATCTAGAGGGGCGCTGTTTGTTTCACTCTTTGTAAAATACTCAATGAGAATGGGGGAGAGACGGGCCGGCAGCAACACACAGCAAAGGAGAATTATCGAAACAAAACAAAGTGTTTGTATTTATTTATTTAAATTATAACTACAATCCGAAAAAACAGGGGAAGCCTGGCTTCCCTTGGCCTCCGGGAGAAAACGCCACTGATTGAGAAGACGATCACTACGTGACAAAAGTTTTCAAAACCGTTTCTGGTCTTCGGTATTTCCAGACAAGTGGCTACTGAAATCAATCTTACTAACTGCTGTCTGTGCAATTCTCGGCGCGAGTTGGCAGACTTTATTTTGCTTACTTTAACATCATTTTTCATGGTGGGGCTAAGCCATTTCTTGGTATGGCTGTAGCCTACCCCAGCCATACCCTGGCGCTGCCACTGGTGGCATGTATGGGGCGGGCCATTCTGCACATGCGTTAAATGCGTTAAATATTTTAACGCAATTAATTCAAAAAACTAATTACCGCCGTTAACGCGGTAATTTTGACAGCATTAATATATGTTAATGGTAATTTAAGGTTAAGACAACCCAAAAAAGACACACACACACACACACACACACACACACACACACACACACACACACACACACACACACACACACACACACACACACACACACACACACACACACACACACACACACACACATATTTCTGTTCTATTTTAATTCTACAGTGTTTACTGTTTGAGCAGACTCCCGGTTGTTGTGCCACATCCCTCCCACACACCTCGCTGCGTCTTCAAAGCCACAACATGTCGACTCCAGCAACAACCTCTGGAGCAAACACACACCCAAAGTGAAAGCGTGTGACAAAGCCGAAGCCACCTACCTCATCAGTGACTTTAAACCTTTTCAGCAAGGCGACAAACTTCTGCTTAATGTTGGGTTGCTGCGAAGAGAGGAAGAAGACAATGTGAGATTGATGTTCATATTTCTGTGTGTGAGGGAGGGGAAAGATGTGCTATTCATGCTCGATGACTCAGAACAGCAGCACTTAATGGAACACCACCAGGACATATTTATGCGTGTCACATAAAGTGTTACCTCTGCAGATGTTTCCGTGCATTTCATATTGTGTTATAAACTGGAATATGAGAAGTTGTTCAGTCGACGCCTCCGAAGGCAGATGTTTGCCCGTTTAGTTATTGGACACGCTGAGTCATTTTAAAAGCAAGGTGGGAGCATTGATTAAAAGTGACTCAGCAGGTTTTTTTAATGCGCACTTGAAGTCAAAAACATTGAAAGAAACTTTATATCAACCACATTTTTCTATGGAGGATAGAAGATCTTCAGCTGTTTGAACTTTTATATTGTCGACTTTATTTTAACCTTGCAATATTTGATTACGTTGGGGCAAAGGAAACAAGTTGTTAGGACATATGGCATTGCTGATATGAATAACGTGTTATCAGTTGCTTATTTACATATGCAGCAGCTATGGAGCGACATTAATATTCCTTTAGAGTTGCGTTTGTGTAAACGTGCCCAACTTAGCTCTGCTTTTGGTCTCTACCTACCTCATATTTGACTCTTTGGCTGCTAATGCTGCTTTGCGTTCATGACCCACTGTGTTTGTTTTTCTGGTACTGAGCAGGAAGTGTAAAGAGGTTTTTTAAAGCTTAAAGGAATAAGACAGCAATGTAAGTGATATTTAAAAAGTAGAGTTGTGAGCCGGCCAGCTTAACAATGAGCTGTGAAACTACATATTTAGACATCATCCATTTTAGTTTTGATTAAAAATGAGTAAAAATCTTATTTAAAGAGGCCCTATCATGCTTTTTTGGGTGGGGGTTCCCTTTCCTGTAGTGTGTTATATAGGTTTTTGTGTGCATGTAAATGGTCTTTGGTGGACAGTATTTGGATGTGTGGGAACATATTCGTTACAACAATGATGCTCCTTGTGTAAAATCTGGATATATTTGGTAGATAGAGGTCATATCAGCTGGGCAAAGCTTCCATCAGAGACATTATTGGATGTCTGAGTGGCTGTAGAGAGTTGTTTTGTTTTTGGGGGTCGTGTCCTCAATTGCTGCTAAAAATGTAAGAGCGATGACCTCATGCTGGACTGTGGTTATGATAATCATTCTGTGTATACGAGTGTGTTTTCCAACCACAGTTCAGAGAAAATGGTCTGTTGAAATGGCTTTTGAGTGTGTCTAATGTGTGTGTGTTCATGCCCTCAAGCAGAGCAGAAATGATGGTTATTATGTGTGTGTGTGTGTGTGTGTGTGTTTGTGTGTGTGTGTGTGTGTGTGTGTGTGTGTGTGTGTGTGTGTGTGTGTGTGTGTGTGTGTGTGTGTGTGTTATCCACAGGCGGTGGTGTTGGGGAGCAGCAGTGACAATCTCGCTGGGACTCCACAGGAGCGCTCCATTAATAACCTGCTGTGACACACACACACACACACACACACACTTACTTCACTGCTTTCCCCTGGTCAAATTGAAGGTCAATTGTAATGTTCAGAGTTTCCAACACGTCTGACTGTTATTCTGTGCTCCTGCTGATTGTTTGTGTAAATGTGTGTGTGAGAATGAGGCCATGCATTCCAATTATTGCGGGTGCTTGTGATTTGCTTCAACGTTTTCCTCCCAGAAAATTGGCCTGGACCTGAATGTATTGGGAGAGGGAGGAAATAGATTTTTGGAACAACAGAAAAGGGAGGAAGGGGGAGGCAGAGGAGGAAGGAGGAGGAGGAGGAGGAGGAGGAGGAGGAGGAGGAGGAGGAGGAGGAGGAGGAGGAGGAGGAGGAGGAGAGGTTGAATAAGGTGAGGCAAGAGGCAGATGAGGGCGAGGGTTTCACTCGAGTCGAATCAATTTCACTTGAAAAGGCGTTTCACAAGCAGCTTTGCCACAAATTGCTTCGGAGACAAAACAAGCAGGACATATAGAAAACAGATGGATAAAGGGAGGGAGGGAGAAAGGGGGGAGGATTGATGAGGTGAGAGAGGTGTTTCTCTTACTCGGGTGATTGCGGCGTTTGAAGGGAGCTTGCGCCTCGGCTTCTTCTTCCTCACCTCGTCCTCTTCGTCAAATAGATACTGAGAGAGAGGGAAAGTTATTACATTTTGGGTTTTAAGGGATAAGGGTTGCGATATCCTACATTTTTATTTCATTACTGTCCACAAATCCTATTAAAAAGACCCAAAGGCAACAATAATTTGATCCCACTAACAAGTCAAGTCTGGGAGCGTCCATTGTTGCACTTGCTGACAATGTATGTTACTGTAATCCATTCTGCAAACAGAGCACAGTCCGCCGGCTGCAGATAAGCACTCGCTTAAATGAAGAATATTAATCCACAGCTTAAAATAGTCCCCAAGAAAAAGCACTATCTACCCTCGTTGGAGTAGCAGTAGATAAAGACTTCAGTGCCCAGCTTTTTTGTACAGAACAGAATGTAATAAATTAGCCTTTTATAAAACATTTCACTACGTGTTTGTCTGCCATTTTTAAATAGGAACTACAGGGACGAATAATGTCATTATTTTGGCTATTGTTTGATCGGCTATGTTAAAATTGCACTACTGAGGGTTGGTATCATAGGTCTAATCCATCAAATTAGCAGGTTGTATACAAGCCAACTGTATTTTTAATTATGAGAACCACTGTCTTTTGAGGTAAAATTAAGAATTAAAACCAAAGATTTTAAAGTTTTTATTACATTTCCCTCCCAAGTTTGACTTTAGGCAAAACATCTATTGTTGAGAATTGCATCTAGCAAATTGAAGCACAGACAACAAATGTGACGGCGTTATTTCCACGTTTCCAAACACACCTGTCCGTGGATGGGGTCGTCGCTGCCTTCCTGTTCTGACGAGTAGCTCTCTTCCTCTTCCTCGGAGTAGTTGTCGATGTCTGGAGAGCGATCTGCGGAGACAGAGGACGGTTAGAGGAGACGGGAGGACAAAAAGGGGAGGAGAGACAAGATTTGTTGAGGGGTCGTTCTCACCGGACATCTTTGCTTTGGGCCCCTCGTGGTCGATGGGCTGGCTGGACAGGGAGTAGACTCTGATCTCAGCGACGGGCACCGAGGCGTCCTTCAGCTGGCTGTGCAGCCCCAGGACCTGAGCCCCCTCGCTGGGGTGCTGCATCACCTGCACGGAGAAGACAACACGTTAGCATTTTCCTGTTTCATCTAGATAGCCTTCAACTGAAAAATCACAAGTTGATGCATTGTTAATCCCATTCAACATTTCAACAATTAAAACTAGGAGAGCAGGAAGTTAAAATGTCAAAATGGTGCTTCTTAGTCGACGTCGAAAACCAGGGAAAATCTATATTCAAGATCATGATATCACAGACATACTAGGTGGTAACAGTCTCATATTGTAATTTATTTTCATGTCTAACTCCACTAGAGTAAAAATGAAACATTTAATGAGTTACAATAAATTCTATGCCATTGATGGACATTGGTTTTCATTGTTTCGATAAGAAAATAAATGTCTTTTATATTATTTTTAATTTTTCTCCAACTTCGAAAGTGCCTTAGCTTTTATGTTACTTAAATGAGATGCAAATGAATGCTAACATATTCAAATGGAAACAACAAGATAATAACTGAAGGAAAAACAAGTCAGCTATTTAAACTTCTACCAGAAATATTTCAATTGCGGTTCTCTACACACAGCGGAGACAAACACAGGATGGGATTCAAACAGCATCAGAGGGAGAGGAGCAAGAAGAGGAAGAGAGACACACGACATAAAGGCTCTGTAGACAGAGAGGAAGACAGGTTAGACAGCAGGAGAAGAAATGAGGACAGACGTGAAGCAGGTGTAGAGAAGAGAAAGATAAAGGAACATGGCTGCAGGAGCTAAACAAACCAGCAGATGGGATTAACAAAACCAGAGAAAGTTGAACATGCGACGCATACAAAGTCCTTCCTCTGCAGCAAACAGCAGCATCACGTCTCCTGCCTCTGTGTGTGTGTGTGTGTGTGTGTGTGTGTGTGTGTGTGTGTGTGTGTGTGTGAGTGTGTGTGTGTGTGTGGCCAAGCATTACTATACTGGTGGGGACCTAAATCTGTTCACACAGTCACATGTGGGGACTCGCCTCCCTTATGGGGACATAATGGAGGTCCCCATGAGGGGAATCATTCATTTTAGGGTGAAGACTTGGTTAGGGTAAGGGTTAGGGTTAGGCATGTGTTGGTTATGGTTAAGGTTAGGATAAGTCTCCAGGAAATGCATGTAAGTCAATGTAATATCCCCTGAAGTGATGTATACATGGTGTGTGTGTGTGTGTGTGTGTGTGTGTGTGTTGTGTATCTAACGGAGTGACACCCAGCCTCTGTCAGCAGTCTGGTCACACTCGCTGAGTTAATGAAGTCTGAGCGGCTTATTATGGAGACAGCCTGCCACACATTACTGCTGAGGTTCAGCTAACCTGCTTCAATGCTAATGCTAGCTCTAAAAAAGCTTCCTATAGCTGCACATTTTAACCAAGCCCCCAGGAAGTGCGCCGGACTCTGAGGAAAATATTCGTTGTGGCCAAACGGCGGTACTACAATTCTGTATCGGTCGCTGGGCCCGGAAATACTTTTTCCCATTGACCAACATTGAGAAAGAGACGTCTGTAAATCGTTGGATAATTTTTTTAAACTAAATAAACTACCCAGTATGAACACTTGTATAGCCCTTATTAAAAACATTCGGTCCTCAAGTTGTAAAATGTGCTAATAACGTTATTCTGAGAGTTATTTCCTCGGCATTATGAACGCGCATCTGAGAGTGGGAGCTCGGGGGCGGGGCTTAAGGGGCAACTCAACTGCGCATGCTCTGTGAGCGCACATACGGGTTCTTCTGCTCCGACAGCCAGGCATGATGGGTAATCTGCGACGTTTCACTCTCTCAAAAGTTGGGCCATTTTGTCCTCATGCGCCAATGAGCAGCTCTCATAGGAAAGAACGAGACCCCGCCTCCCACGCTCTATCCAGTTCTTATTATACATCCATGATTTTAACCCAGGAAAAGGCTTTTATGCAAATCTGACAGGTGACCAAAAAAGAAGGGAAAATACATGTTTTATTAGAATTAATTTAATTGTACATTTTCCAAACGGCGAGACTAAATGACCTGCAGGTTCATCTTTTAAACTTATAACGCATTATGCTTGAAACCATGCAGTGAATGCTCTCTAAAAGCATGCTTTTATAAGGTAGATAATCACATTACTGCTCAGCATTGTGTGTTCCAAGTGGAAGTAAAGGCAAAATAATATTTGTGCGAGCTGAAGTAGTGCAAATGCTAAGTAAATGGAAAAAAGTCAGAGATTACAGGATGTTGCATAATCAAGAACAACATTCATAATATGTCTCCGTAAGCAGTTCTTAATGTATTTTTGCGGAAAGGGTGCAGCAAACGTTTTCTGGCTACTAAAGAAGACTATGGGAAATGATTGCAAAGAAAAACATGGAAGTAAAACAATGTTTATCTTAAAAAATCTTGAGATGATTTTTCACCATCATGAAACTCAGATTTGATAACTTTTTGAAGAATCATAGACCAAAATGATTCATCAAGAAAATGTACTTCATTAATTGATACTGGAAACCTGTAACCGGAAAATTATATTGAGAAATGTCTCAGAAAAACAGAGAGAATTATGGGAAATGAAGGCAAATTCAGTGTGAAATTGTTCTGTGAGTTCTACTTCTGTTTTTATTTTTGACAAACCTATACCTCGTACAAGTTTGAGTTTATAGTAAGTAGCTTAGAAGTTTTCTTCACACTCCCTGCTGTCAATGAAAACAACATTTCTTCGTGACTTCTGATAGAACTGAATAAACTGAAAACCTGAGTGAGTCCCCTATAGCTTTTGATTTGTCTGACCCGCTCCGAGCTCGGGGCAGAGTTCAGGCCTGTGAAAGAAATGAGTTTGAACTCATCATGCGTACGAGTCGGCGTTCGTGTCCTTTGCCCTCTCCAAAGCACAACCTGTCTGCTGGAATAGCTTCATGAATAAAAAGTGACTTTGTTTTGTATGCAGAGGCAGCAGCAGGCCAAAGGCTGGAGCCACATACTGTGTTGGAAATAAAAATACTTTTCTTAAAGTTTTGAGTTCACAAGATCTATTCTCTGATTCATGTACTCACATCCTATTTGGTGAATCTGGTTTAATTTGCTCTTGATAAAAGGACTTGTCATTAAATCTGTATTTATGTACTTTTCTGGTGTTTCACACTGTAAATAATTCTGACCTTCAACGAAACATCCACATGTACAGACACACACCATAAATCAGAAGCCTTTGAGAAAACGTTCTTGTTGTGGGAGACGGAGAATCGCGAGGAGCTTTTTGGCAGACGAGGCCACAGACTTTGATTAATGGCGACATTTATGGCGTGCCGGAAAAAGAACGCAAGGCCAAAGATTGAAATCCGAGTTTTAGTTTAACGCGCACTAACTGAAATTGAGTTTGGATGAAGGGTAAATGAAGGTTAAAGCTAAATATGTCCGAATAAAAGTTCCTGAATGAGAGAAAATTCCTCTGGTTGATATCAGGTCAGAAATCACCGTGACGACGGTTAATGAGATCAGTTCAACGGAGATTAGACTGCAGCAGAAGGCAGAGGCTGCATGTTTAGGGAAATGAGACTTTGACCGGTGTTTTGTTGGGTCAACAGCTCAGATCAGTCGGGACGAGAAGAGGACAACACTCCGCTGACTCGACGACTCGCAGCTGAACCTCCATCTGCTGCTGTGGAGCTGCTGAAGACACACTAACATGCTACGATACGACATCATGTGCTCATTTTCAGCTGTATGTATTGGGACATGTCTCCATGCTTTAACGTTCACAAAGCTCTTTATTTTTCTCATACTGCCTGTGCTGCAGCACCTCTTTCCACCCTCTGTCTGAAACCAGAGCCCGGTCTGCTCTGATTGGTTAGCTGGGACATCTGTTAGCGGATTGGTCAACCGCTAACAGATGTCCCGCCCCTTAGCCTATCAGCCCATTTGATCATATTAAATGTTATAAATGCAAAAATGTGGGATACAAACTAAAGACAGAAAACATTTGAGAATCAAAGGAAAAACATTTAAATGTAAACACATCACAAATCACTTGTGCGATACATTAAGAGCTGAGTGGGTGGTGGTACCTCGGCCATGTTGATGAGACCCAGAGCGAGGGTCTTGTAGCCCAGCATGGTTCGGTTCTTGTATCTCTTCCGTCTCTGCAGCATGATCTGAAGCTTGTTGGCGTCCCTCTTCAGGAAGTGTGGGTACTGCGGAGTACAAATACACACAAGTTCAGAGCCAGACTGATACAGCGATGACTTTGTTTCCCAGGTCGTGACAATCAGGCCGATTGGTTGCGTAAGACCTCGACACCCTCAGACCTGTCTCCGGCGTGCTGAGGTGTCGTCGAGCCACTTAGTCACATCCTCACTATGACATAACCCGTCATTAAGGATCTGCACTATAAAAAGGAACAAAAGCCACTTCTGAAACTATGTTCAAAGCCATGAAATCACTCCACCGCTCCGTTTTAATAGGCTTCCTCTCCGCAGTGGAGGGAGTTGAATGTATAATGTCTGGCTCAGTGCGCGCGCTAAGATCCACAGAGAGAAACTCGCTGACCTTTCAGAAGCATTTAGATGCATGGAAATTGGAGAGGATGATTTAGAGCAGAAGAAACTCTGCTGGGATTAGTCGTGCTCAGCCTGAATGCATGGCAGGATGTAAACGCTGTACGAGTGTTGATGCATGAACAGGTCTAATTTTATTACATGTAGCAACAATGAAAACATTGTTCATGAAATGGTAAGCAACAACATGTATATGTTCAATTATTATTATATAACTGCTACTTATTCTTTTTACCATGGATGAGAACTTATTTGATTCCTGCCTCTTACTAAGTCTATTATTTTGCCTTTTATTTGCACCGTCCCTCTATGTATAAATACACCATAGGAGGGTCAACAATAACAGAGATACTTTCTTTTTGTTCACACACACACACACCACACACACACACACACACACACACACACACACACACAACACACACACACACACACACACACACACACACACACACACACACACACACACACACACACACACACACATCACACACACACACACACACACACACACACACACTCACACACACACCACACACACACACACACACACAACACACACACACACACACACACACACAACCACACACACACACACACACACACACACACACACACACACACACACACACACACACACACACACACACACACACACACCACACACCACACACACACACCACACACCACACACACACACACACACACACACACACACACACACACACACACACACACACACACACACACCACACACACACACACTATTGGCTAAAGAAATACAAGAACATTGTTAACTTTGACTGACAGGTGCCTGAGCCCCCTGATCCTTAGTGTGTTTACCTGCAGGGAGAAGGTGAGCTGCAGGTCGGTCTCCGTCAGGCCTGCGCAGGACAGCAGGATCTCGTTGGAGCGCAGGATCCTCTTTGAGCCCTGAGGAGGCGACGAAAGGAGAAGAAAAAACACAAAAGAGAAATGTCATGGGAGCAGGGAACGATGGAAACATTATAATTAGCAAAACCCGGGTAACTCCAGCAGAGTCAAAACAATAAGCTAATCAACCACATGCAGGGCGGTGGAGCGTGGGAGGAAAGTGACTGATAGGAAGGAAGATGGAGAGAGTAACAGCAGCAGCATGGAAAAAGAATTAAAACAGCTTAAAGTGTCTTAAGTGCAGATCACTTATTGGTTTGCTTAGATAGAAAACAAGATGGAGGTGGTGGAGAGTGAACCGAAGCCAAGGAGCAGACACTGGGAGTGGAGCCACAGCCTTAAAGGGGCCTTCAAATGTATTTACACAAAGACTACGAGAATCTGTTTTTAATATTGGACAAGATGGGGATGATGGCGAGCACACACAGGGCGCAACAGAGCAGAATGGAGAAAACACTTAATCTTAAATATTCATCCTTAATGTATTTTTTTTATTTAACCAAAACATATCATACGAGTTATTTATTTGAGCTTGCTATCCTCTGCTGTCAAAAGGTGTCAAATTGTAAGAAATTGAATACTGTACTGGAAGCTTCCCTCTAGTATAACAACACCAAATCATAGAAGACAAGTGTGGGGAAGTTACAGAAAGAGGAGGTGTGTCCGGATCTAATAATCTAACTTGACAAAAAAAGAAACAACTCTTAAATTCAAATTCCACATGATGTTATATGTTTCGTTGTGATTGAAACTATTTCACTGTGTTGAGCTTTGGGTCTTCCATCATGAACCTCTTTCGCCTCACTACTGCTGCCGAAAGCAACGTTTGTCCATTTTATTGTCCGACTGTAGAGAGGACTCTCTTACCTGCAGCTTGACGGCGATGACCACAGAGGTGAGGTCTTTATCCAGCTCCTTCAGCATGATCAGCTTCTTCAGAGTCAGGTTGAACAGCCTGGAGACGAAACACAGAAAGACTGGGATTAGATGGCATCATGGATTGCTGGATTATTGTCTGTAAAGTATCACGGGAAAGCTAGCGGCAGGGTGTGGCATTGTTCGAGGAAGAAATAACCCGTTACATTTGAAAGCAGATCCAGATTGATCCCGGATGTCTCTTTAAGTGCCTTTCTAGTTTTGGGGGATTTCACTTTGATGGATGATGCATTCAAAGAGCTTTGCTGAGGAGTTACTACATCATTTCAACAGCATGTCAAATCACGAAAAGGAGAAATAAAGCAGCAGCTTCGTCTTTCTGCTTCATTTCACTTTCTGTCTCTCCAGTGAGCCATCGAATAAAGACAAATAAAAGGAAAAGGGACACTTGAAGAGGCCTTTAGTGCAGTTGTTGTTTTTTAGACTAGAACAATCTGTTATGGCCCAGACAGGACTGGAAATGAAGTAAGTACAATTAAATTAAAAGTCAATTAAATGAAGACAAACAGCCTGTGTGCACGATGGACGATGGTCATGGTTTTAGAGTGAAGTATTTCTCCTCATTAGAGAACAGGCAAGCTGAAACGTGCTAAATCTGTAATATTATTATTGTTTAACGTACAAGACTGCCCAACACAAGTTACACACACACACACACACACACACACACACACACACACACACACACACACACACACACACACACACACACACACCACACACACACACACACACACACACACACACACACACACACACACACACACACACACACACACACACACACACACACACACACACACACACACACACACACACACACACACACACACACACACACACACACACACACACACACACACACACACACACACACACACACACACACACACACACACACACGAGAGGAGAAATTACAAATACAAAGAGGAGAATATACAGAGGAGGAAACAATCTAGCAGTCAAGACGATGAAGAAGAAGAAAGTGCGGGGGGGCAGGAGACAAGACAATTGAGCAACATATCAACTTAGAGCTAAATGTGAAAGAGGATAAGAACTGTCTCACAAATGTCAGAAATAGGTTTCGAGGAACAGACTATTTCATTTAAATGATGAGAGGAAACAGATATCATTCAATCATTTCCTTATGATGATCACTTTGTGTGATAAGAAACACGACAGTGACGAGTCCTATAACCCGGGAGTGAGTCAGCATGTCACCGCTTCCTGTTCCCTGGTCTCAGAGCCAATGGGATGTCTCCATAGGATTTGGGAAAACATCTGGAAATAAGGTCTGTGGTTGACTCAAATTGAAGAGACAGATCACGTTTTGTTCTACGACATTAAATCCATCAGCAGTGACCCCGCTGGTGATTTCTGAAGAGTTCACGTGTCTGAGAAACGATTTACCAAGTGGCTGAATAGGACTACAGAAGTTGTCGAGGCCGTTGTACGTCATTACGCCGAACACGTAAACACTCCTAAGTTAGTTTGCCCTGTTCAGCTTGAAAGCAAGTGCCTCCCGCAGACTGTTCAAACACTTCAACTCGTACCATTTACAATCTGTATGTTTGAATATGGATCTTAAGTTGGCGTGACGTTGAAGCAGCGACCCTGCTGTAGTTCCTTTATAGCATAACGTTAGCTTCTTGCGATTAGATTTATGCTTCAAAATGTATAAAAGTAGACATGTGGAGATTATCCGGCTGAACAAAACGTGCATTTATCAAACAGCTTCGTTTTCCACAGACCTGATTTCCAGCTATTTTCCAAAATCCTATGGAGAAATCCCATTGCTTTTTTGTCGAGGGAACCAGCAGCTTACTTCCGGGTAAATACGTCATCCCTGCACCACTCTATTCAATTGTAAAATAAAAAACACAGAAAAAGAAAAGCAATAGCTCAGCCATGTAGGCCCAGGAATAGAAAAGAAGCAAAACATGAAATACATTGGGAGAAAATAAGCGGTAAAGAAATGAATGGAATATATCATTCCAGTATTTTAAGTTTGTGAATAAAAGAGGCAATACAAAAGGTTCAGCTACCTGTTTCACTCCACACTGTGATTTTCTGGATCACTAGAAAATAAACCAAAGGCTATGAGCTGATTGAGCCCGACACATGACATATTCTTCTCACGGCAACATACGGTGCATTCTGCCGCCGCCGCCGCCGCCGCCGCAGTTTATGTAGCATTTTAAAGCCTCTGCATCCATCATATGAATCTCAGGGTAAATCACCATCAATCCCACATCTTTTACCCATTCCACGTGATTCGGTAGTTGAAAACGATAGAAGAAAAGCAATCATCACGATCAAAAAACGTATCTCTGCAAAGATCAATAGTCCAGGCAGGTGAGAGAGAGAAGAAAGACGTGCCTTTACACAAACTAACGCACTTCTAAAGCAACCTTTGATAACATCTATACAGATTAAAGGCAGACAGAGTGGACAGAAAATCATCGCCTCTCCAGTCTGACTTCCTCTCATCACACCTGGACTCTCCTTCCTATCCACTTACTGCCTTTCATCTTTCCTTCAACGCTCTCATTCCAACACTCACAAATGGGACTGCTGATGCAACCCTCAGCGACAAAAACGAGAGCCTTTCTGCTCGGCCCCAAGGCTTTCTGGACCAGGTCGAAGCGGCCAGGAGTTATAGTTTTCCTCTGATAGAAATGGGGCAGCTAAGTGCAGCGTGTGGTCACCTGCTGGATCTGAGTGGACTGAATGAAGGTGGAGAGGAGGAAGAAGCAGTTCGGGTGCCAGGGGTCGATCTGGGATGGGAGTGAAGTATACGGGGTAAACCATATTAGGGAGGAAGAGGTGAGAGAAAGGGTGAGGTAAAAGGACTGAGACTGGAAGACGGATATGCAGAGGTGAACAGGAAGTTGTGGCTTTTACACTGTTGCATTATAAATAACCCGTTTCCGTTATTTTAAAGTTCCTTTATTGGGAACATTTATATTTCCGTGTTTCTTAAAGCGGGTCTGCTTGTCATCTGAATACTGTGAAAGTATCAAAACTCTCAATTCATCACCAAATGCACAAAGCCCTTATTCAGAACCTGTGCCTGTAAATGAGTTGTCAGGGCTTCTGTAACTTTGTGATGTCACAACTACATATTATATCGGTAGAAAGTATCTCTGCCGTGTTGTCAAAGTCATTCCCTGGCTGGATTTACGGTGCAGAGAGGCAAAAGCGCAAATGCAGAACACCTGGAAACTCCGACCAATCACAGCAGACTGGGCGTTTCTTAAAGAGACAAGTGCTAAAATGGAGTGTTTCAGACTAAGGGAGAAAACAGGTCAAATTCAAGCAGATGGTACAAGAAAAAACAATAAAGCTTGAAAACATGTTCAAGTAAAACTATAATACACCCGAAAAGTAAGGAGAAAGGAATAGAAGAAAGGTCAAAAACAGACCTTTAAAAAGGCCAACTTCAGATAAGATGAAGACATTTCTCCCAAATTCTGGCAACTCAGAAGCTGAAACGAGATGTTTGTCTGTTTTATTTGAAAGATTACTCAATCGTATCACATGGAATCACTACCTGAACTCATGTCTTGCGAGATGATATAGATCCCACACCTGCAACACATCTTTCATCTCGAAGGGCGTTTTGTAGGATGTCAATCTTGCCAGCTGGCTCACATCAGAAGGACATCATTGGTCTGTACCTGCTGCGCTGCGTTGCCCTCCCAGAGTGTGATCCATCACTGAGCTGACATGTTTATGACACCACTGGGGCCTTCGTCTTCGGACGTAGGTTATAGCTCCTGGAGGGTCCTAAAACTCTTCAGGGTGATGAATCAAAACACTCTGGGCTTCCTGCCTCGAACTAGAAGAATTTCTGAAGACTTAATGAGGTGTTCTGCCGCATAACATCCTAATCACCTGCTCAGTGGATTGCATGACATTCCTAATCCCCTTTGAGATAAACAAATAGCAAAGCCTACTTCAATGTTGCTCAGTAAATGGACCAGTGGGACTTCTGCATTTCGACATCTGAAAAACAAGCTTCCATTAAAGCAACAAGCTGAATTTTAGTTTGACTCTTTTAGACTTTTAGATGAAGGAGAACACATCTTCTCAACACAGGAAACTTAAATAGAAGCACGACATAGAAACCATAAGCAATGACCGCCACACTCTTAACTACAGCAATGACACAATCAGCCATAAACCAACAACTCCACCCTTGACTGACACTGTCACTCGTCAACACAGCCCGTGAGGGGAATCACAAATTGTAATAGGTCAAAACAATCCACGCACCACAAACACTTCCTCTCCGGTCCAATTCTCACTTCTCTGGCCTATCTCTCCCCCCCGACAGTCGGTACACATTATAATCAATCTGAGCAATTGAACAGACGACAGTGAAGGGGGATTCAGGGAACAGAAACACCAGGGTTTGAAAGCAGTAGAGGAACAAGGAAATAGCACCTTTGATTGACAAAATGGAGGCACAGCAGTGTGTTTTGTGCACAAACAATGACAAAGCTGCCTCTACAACGAAACAGCTGGGATATAATTATAGACGGCAATGCATAATGGGGAAAACAACAAACCAATTTGTCTTTTAGAGAGTCTAGCTAAGCCAGGAATTTGATTAAACTCCAATATTCAAAGGATAATTGATTATTCCAGCCTTTGATGTAAAAACATTTAAAACAATTTGAATCGTTAAACGATAAGACTATTATTTTTCGTTTGAACAAATGCCATTAAATGAACAAAAACAGCTCACCAACATACCATTTGTGTAAAAAGGCTTTCCTAAACTAGGGAACTGTCTTTTTTCACCAAAACAGTAGTAATTCACGCTTTTGTTGGGGACTATTTTCAGCTGCGGATCAATACACAATTGGGTCTCCGGTGAGGCCGCAGAAACACTGCATGTAGGCTTTGGATTGTAGATTAATGATTTGATCTGTAAATGGTGAAAACTGCTCATCTAAAGTATTCTAAAGCATAAGGTGAGATCATTAAACTGTGATTTATACAACTAATTTG